CCCCTCCAAAAATGATAAAAACAGTCCAATAGCCTCCTTAGAAGTATCTCATCTGAAGCTGCCGAGTGGTTTCCAGTAACATGGTTACGCCTTCTTTTCCCCTCAAGCTTAGCATTCTCAAAATGTCTCAGTCAAACCCCATGCCTTGATAATGTGCCATATGTTTTCTTGAAAATGTGGCAATTATTCAAGTAACTATTTTACTATAGTTCGCATGTTTTTTTCTGGATTCCCTAATCACTAGTAGCCCTATATAAATGAGAAGATTGAGTCAGATCACTTTTACGAGATTCTCATCTGGTTTTGCGTTTTCAAGCTTAGCTAACTGAAGAAATGCTCTGGAATGGTCTAAATCAAACCTCCAATATGCAGAGCCAATTCCATTTTTTATCCAATTACTAACAAAGGCCTCTTAAGAAGTGACCATTGGTGTTAGGTGACATCAAGTCAGTTCTGACTCAGAGTGACCCTATGTACAACAGAACGAAACATTGCCCAGTCCTGCGCCACCCTCACAATTGTTGCTATGCTTGAGCCCATCGTTGCAGCCACTGTGTCAATCCACCTTGTTGAGGGTCTTCCTCTCTTTCGCTGACCCTCTACTTTGCCAAGCATGACGTCCTTCTCCAGGGACTGGTCCCTTCTGATAACATGTACAAAGTACTTGCGATGAAGTCTTGACATCCTTGCTTCTAGTGGGCATTCTGGCTTTACTTCTTCCAAGACAGATTTGTTCGTTCTTCTGGCGGTCCATGGCATATTCATATTCTTCACCAACACCACAATGCAAAGGCTTCAATTCTTCTAAACCAGAGTTTCTCAAACATGGTACTACTGACATATTGGGCTGGATAATTGTCTGTTGTGGGGTGAAGGGCTGTGCACTGTCGAATGTTAGCACATCCGTGGCCTCCACCTAGTAGATACCAATAGTATTTAGCCCCTCTTACAGTTGTGATAATCAAAAATGTCTCCAGACACTGTCAAATAGCCTTGTACGTGTGTATATACACGCATGTGTGCAAACTCTCCCCCAGGTGAGAAGCTTGCGCCATGAAACAGATATTCTTTTATTCAGTCTGTCTGCTGATATTAGGATCTCAATGCTCTTGTTTCTTTTGGAATCAATGTGGAAGTTAATTGATCTATTCCCATAACTATTGGAGTCGATTCCGACTCATAGCGACCCTACAGGACAGAGTAGAACTGCCCCATAGGGTTTCCAAGGAGCAGCTGGTGGAGTCGAACTGTCAACCTTTCGGTTAACAGCTGAGCTATTAACCACTAGGGAGATTCAAAAATAAAGAACCAATGACCATTTATTGTTGAAGATAACACAGTCACAGAATGATCAAAACCAGTCTAAGCCCAAATTCCTAAAACACATAAAAATTTGATCTCTGTACTTTCTTCCTCATTGCTAGTCCAGTTAACAGCTGGGTAAAATCTGAAAGCAACAGAGTAGCTTCTATGATTAAGAATCCAATCCACTCTATGTCCCAACCGATACCTTAAATTCCCGAAATATCTCTGGATACAAAAACACTTCTGATATAATGCGGGCTAACCAGAGATTTAGTCTGTGAAACACAAAGTCTTAATTAGCCCAGCCCAGCCAGTCACAGTATGGATTCTGATCTTAGCTCCTGGGAATACATCATAGACACTGTAGTCAGGGAAGAGAGGGCAGAGAGAAAAGTGGATGTTTCTGGGAAACAGCTGTATCTATATGAACATGAGTAAGGAGATGGAGATGCAGATGGATATATGGAGAGATGAAGAAGTATACAAAAACAGAGCTAGAGAGATAATAGATACAGATACAGGGGATTCCTGTCCCTAAGCAAAGGTCCTACACACTAGTTCATACATGAAGCTGTACTGCTCGGGATTTTTCAGGAATCTCGCTTATGAATTCATTACTTCAAACACTTGTGCCCTTGCCAAAGCAGAGGTGGTAAACGAACCTGTGTGTGGATTAAGAAGGATGCTTCCGGGCGGGATGCCTGTTGCAGCTTCGAGTGGAAGGAGGATGTAGCTGGTGCTGCTGGGTGCCACCTGGCCCCCCATTCCATTCTCAGGATAGGGCACGCAGCCCGAAGAACTGGCTGGCACGCCCGAGACCAGGGGTGCGCTCTGGAGAGGTGGATGGGTGCGGGACAGCGATCCCGAGGAGCCTGTGCTGCTGGAAGACTCGGAACCTGGTAGATACAGATCAACAAACCATTAGACACCCCAAGAGGAGGAGAGACAGCACGCTCCGGGTCTACATGCTGTACGAAGCACCGTTAGAGAATATGAAGTGGAGGCTGCAGGATGGGATTACTGAATGCCCCGCCCACATTTGGGGCTCCTCCATTACTGAAATCTCTGCTGCATGCTTTTCAGATGTGTCAATTTTCTAGAAAAAGAGGGATTAGAGACAAGTACTCTCTCGGCCTTCTCACATGCCACCAGGGTGATAAATTGGTAAACGGGACCCTCAGGCTCTGAACTCATGCCTGAAAACGCCCATCTTCCAGAAGAATTAATGCCACGGAAATGTCCTGCTGGGCTGGAATGGCGAGAATGAAATGACAGAGGGGCAGTAAGAGATGGCGGCTGAAGGAGGAGTCACGCTCTGGTCA